TGGACCCCGTCTTCGGTTTGAAAAGACCCCCGGCTCCGTGTGGAGGTCAGCAGGACGAGGAGACGAGGACCTTCCGGGCCCGGGGTGGCAGATAGGGACCGGGTGTGGCCGCTCGCCCGCCTGGCTCACTGCGGCTCCTCGGCGCCCGGAACGGGACCGGCCCCCAGGAGCTGCCTGCGCCTGCGGTTCGTTTTCCAAGTGACCCCAAGCTGGGCGGCTTGGAACAACAGCAACGCATTCTCTCCCCCGTCCCCCAGGCCGTGAGCCCGAGAGCCCGGTGTTGCCCGGCTCGCTCCCTCCCGGGGCTCCAGGGCGGGGGTTCCTCCCTGCGCCCCCCAGGCCCCTCGAGGCTTCCGGGGCTCCAGGCGTCACCCCTGGGCTTGTGGCCGTGCCCCTCTCCGGTCTCTGCCTGTGCGTCCTACTGTCCTCGCAGAAGGACACGTCCTTGGGTTCAGACCCCCTCCCCCAAACCTAGGACCACGTCTCACGGTCCTTCCCCTGATCCCGTCTGCAAAGACCCTTCTTGCGAGTGAATCCACGGGCACAGGTCCTGGGGGGGCAGGACGGGCGGGCCCCGTCCTCCAGGGGCCCCCATTCCGCACACCCCTCCTTGCAGCTGCAGCCCCTGCCCCATCTCCCCGGGGCCTCCTCACCCCGCTTCCGGGAGACCCCGTGCCCCTCACCTCCCCCAGCCTGCATGCTGAGGTCACTTCCTCCCTGAGGCCCATCCCTCTGCAGAGAGCACACCGACATTTCCCCCATGACACTGGGCCTGGGCAGCTGGTGCCCCGGAGTGGGTCAGGGGAGGGGTGGAGGGATGGAGCCCCACGGGCGAGCAGAGAGTTTGCAGAGCAGGAGGGGGGGCAGAGAGCGGCACCGGGCAGCTCCCCAATAACGGGGCCGTGGCTGGGCCAGGCAGAGTGCGGCGGGGGTCCCAGCAGCAGCCTGACCGGGGAGGGGGCGTCCAGGCTAGCACCGGAGAGCTGGGGGAGGGTGGCTCGTGGAGGTCGTGGGGGTCTTGGGGAAGGCAGGGTGCCGGTGGGGTGGGCTGCAGCGAGGGGGAGTGGGCTGAAGGGGAGGCCCTGGGGGGAGCGGCCTGGGCCAGGGTGCGGGAGGCGGCGTGGTCCGCACAGAGCTGTGAGGGAGGCCCTGAGCCCAGCGCCCGGGGGGTCCTGGGAGGGGACACAGGGGGCAGGTCCTTCATGGGGCTCTAGTCTGAGGGGTGAGCAGGGTCCTGAGCTGCGCCCCCACCCCCACCCCGAGTGTCTCTGAGAGTCCCCCTGCCCCGGCCTCGCCTGTCCAGCCCCTCCCTGCACCGAGGGTTGCACCAGCCCCCCAGCCCCCCAGGGTCTAAGGCAATGGGCCCCTCCAGGCGGGCCCTCCACTCAGATGAATCCCCAGAGACCCTGAGCAGCGTGCCCGCCCCGCAGACACCACCCCAGGCCCCCGAGGACCGTCCCGAGAACAGCCCACCAGGTGAGGTGCTGCGGGACCCCCAGACACAGCCCCCACTCCCTCGGCCCCCGGCCCCGCGGCCCCTCTCCCCGAGGCGGGCACCTCTGCTAGCCGCGGGCTGGCGGTGGCGTGCCTGAAGGCGCCAGGCCAGGCCTCACGAGTCTTGGATGCCAGCCTCACTGAATCAGGGACCCTGCAGGCCAGGGGACAGAGCGCTCCGTGCTGGCTGAGAGGGGCCGGGCTCTCCTGCTGCGACCTCTGCTCCGGCCTCAGCCCCAGGCGGAGGGTGAGCGCGTCTGCCCAGCGGGTGGGCACACGGGAGACACACGTCCCCGGGCGTGCACAGCTCTGAGTCGCCGTGTCCGGCAACAGTCACGGTTTCTAGCACCCAGCCAGTCCGCCGCCCACAGCCCGAGGGTTCCCCGGAGCTGGCAGCTGGGGCACCTTCCTCCTCACCCGTGGGCTCCTGGGAGAGCCGCCCCCAGCCCCCCGCCCCCTGGCACCCCGTCTTGCAGGGTCTGGTGCCTGTGACTGACCCGGAGCCCCCGGCCCACCCGAGTGTGGCCAGCCACACGCCCGAGAGGCACAGGACCTGGCACGGTCCGACTTCCCTGGGAGCCGGGGTCCCGGTCTCCAAGTCTCCCCGTCTCCCCGCACCGCCGCCCGCCCCCCGCCCCGCGCGAGAAAGAGCAGAGCACACAGAACAAAATGCATTTCAGTACTTTATTGGGATTGCGAGCGTTTAAGGTTAAAGGCGGGGCCCAGGCAGTGGGCCCCGCCGGAGACAGCATGTTAGAGGGTCTGAGTCGAGGCGAACACGGCCGCCGCGCGGTGGGCTGGCGGCGGCGGGTGACTCGGTGTGTCCTGCGCGTGGGGGTCTTCAGGCGATGGCACAGGGAGGGACCCAAGAGGGGGTCCCGCTGAAGACTGTCGGGGGGGGGGATTCGGGGAAGAGACAAGATGGAGAGCCACAGACAGGGGCACGGGAGGTCGTGGGGAGCCCGGGTCGGTGGCGAGGACCCGGGGAGAGCTGCGCGTTGTGGGGGCACAGAGGTTCGCGTCGGCAGACGCCCCCGGCGCGCCCGTCCCGGAGAGGCACGTGTAACACTGGGGGGACGGGCGTCCGGCAGAATGGGCGGGCGATTTGGGGTGCCTCTAAGTCCTTTTGGGTCTCTGGCCAATCTGGGTTCTCCAATCAAGACAATTTGGCTCTTTGGGTTTCCGTCCAATGGTCCGAATGGCCCATTCCCCGGGCACCGGCCGAGGGGCCCTCTGTGCCAAGGGCAGGCTGGCATGGACCGCCCCCGGGGTCATGCCAGCCCCGTCGCCAGGGCCCCGAAGCCTCGGGCCTCTAGGCTGCTAGTCGGGGTGCCCGCAGGGGGGGCTGCGCTGGGGGCAGAAGTGGGGGGAGGTAAGCCTCCAGCCGCCCAGGTCCCTGGGGCAGCCCTAGGCGCCGACGTGAAGGTGGCCGGGTCAGCGCCAGACCCGTGGGCCTCGGGGCCCAAGCGACCCCCGGGGTTGACAGGTCAACCCCGCAGCTCTCCTGCTCTGAGGGGCTCCCTTCGGACCCCCCCTCCTGCCCGGCCTCACCCAGCCTGGCTCCCAGGGGGCCTTGCAGAGCTCTAGCCCCCTGGGGACCAGACCGGGTGCCGGGGGGCGGGCACGATGTCACCAAGGGGTGAGGGGAGAGCTCCCCAAGTGCTCGGAAGGCGGCCACCTGCTCCAGCCCGATGGAGCCCGTCTTCACTCGTGCGCAGCCCCTTCCCCCCCGGCGGCCAGCGGCCGGCCGGGGGCCCCTCCTGGTGGCCGCCGAGCACCTTCCTGACACCTGGGGAGACGCCGCCCCACCCCTCCTCCACCCCCCGGGACCTCCGGGGGCCAGCCACCGTCCCCGGAGGCCAGGCCAGGCAGTGGCCCGTCTCCATTCCCCTGGTTCTTCTCCCCGGGGCGCCGTGGCCAGCGCCCCGGGGAGGCTCCACTTCTCGATTCAGCCCAAGCGACAGGGACAGAGTAAAACGCGGGGAGATAAATGGCGGGGAGCAGGACGTGCCGGTGGTGGTGGTGACGGTTACTTGGTGCATTTTCGCTTGGGTCGCTGCTCCCCTGTTACAGGGAGGGAGGTTATATGGGTACATGAGCGCGCGAGAAGCCAGGGAGGGGGAAAAAAAAAAAAAAGGAAACAAGCCCCAGGAGAATCGAATCAAAGGGGGGAAAAACAGATCAATTGGCGTGAATTTGGGTCTCTGATTGGTGTCTGTAACTCCGCAAGTTGCCGACACTCTCTTCTGACTTTGGACCGAAACCTCGCTGGGCCAATTCCTACCCTAGAGCACCCCCCGCCCAGCCCCCACTGCCCCCCACCCACCCCGCCAACCGCCATACTTCCCACACTCCCCGTCACCTCTGCCGGCCCCCCGGGGCTCCCGTTCCTGGGAGGTTGCCCGGGGGGCCGGCAGAGGTGATCCCGGGTGTGCTGGGCGCGGGGCCCGAGATCTTGCACGGGGGGCACACCCAGGGGTCAGGCTACAGTGGGGACATGTCTTACTGAGCAACAGCACCTCCGGGCCGGCCACATCCTGTCCTCGCTGGCACGCACGGTGGCGGGGCGTGCCGGTGGGTCTGGGGGCATCGGGCTCCTGCTGCGGAGGCCGTGGGGGCGACGGAAGCGCCAGCCCAGGCCTGGGACACACCCCTCCCCACCGGGGGCGCATCGCAGGGGACGGGAGGGGAGCTGGGGACATGAAAACCTCTGGGAGAGAATTTGGGGTGACACAGACTAGTCTGCACACCGTCCCGCACGTGTGTGAGGGTGCGTGCTGTGCGAGTGTGTGAGGGTGTGTGAGCTATGCCAGTGTATGCATGAGGGTGCATGGTGTGCGAGTGTGTGTGTGAGGGTGTGTGAGCTATGCCAGTGTATGCATGAGGGTGCATGCTGTGTGTGTGCATGAGGGTGTGTGGTGTGCGAGTGTACATGGGTATGTGTGTGCATGTGTGTGTGTGGTTATGTATGTGAGGGTGTGTGGTGTGCAAGTGTACATGGGTATGTGTGTGGATGTGTGTGTGTGGTTATGTGTGTGAGGGTGTGTGGTGTGCCAGTGTACATGAGTATGTGTGTGTGTGTGAGGGTGTGTGGTGTGTGTGTGTGTCTGTGTGCAGGGTGTGTTTCTGTGGGGATGTGTGTATTTATGTGCTTTTAGGTGGGGATTGGTCTGTAAGAATTTGGGGGGTGCGGGGTTCGTGCCAATTAAATTTTGTTTGTGCCAATTTCGGTTTTCATGTTCCGTGTCCCCTCGTGGTGACGGTGGTGGGGCCCGAGCGGGGGCGAGGGTGGGTGGCCGCTGGTGTTCGAGGCCGGTTCAGAGTTTCGCGTGAGCGGGGAGGTGGCTGAGGAGCAAGGACATGCCGGGGTGAGAATTTGGGGTCCCCTCCTCTCTCTTGGATGGTCAGGATCTCGAGGCGAGGCCAATGCGACCGAGGTCCAAGGGGAAGAGGAGGAGGGGACCGGGGGGGGCGCCGAATTATTTTATTTTGCCAATTGTTTTTAAGCCAATTTGTTTTTTAGTGTATTTTCAGCCAATTATTTTTTTTTTAGGGTTTTGTTTTTTTTTTAAGGCCAATTTGTTTTGTTGGTGTTTTTGAAGAGCCAATCAGTTTTAAGGGGGCTGGTGTGTGTCTGTGTGTGTGGGGGGGAGGTTGTTTTCCAATTTAGTTGTGTAATTTGGGGGGATATTTTTGGGGGGGATAATTTGGGGGGATATTTTGGGGGATAATTTGGAGGGATATTTTGGGGGGATTTTGGGGGGGAAATTTGGCAGACGTTTGGGGGGAATAATTGGGGGTGTTTAAAGCCAATTGGTTTCGTGAATTTTGGAAGCTGTTGGGACGCGACCCTCGGCCGGTGGAGGGGCCGAGCAGAGCAGCCTGACGTGGGGAGGTCGGGGCGCGGGGGCGGGGCAGGGGGCGCGCCGGGCAGGTGACGACGCAGAGGCTTCAGAGGGCCTGGTGGTGAGGCCGCCGGTGGAGAGGGCTGCAGGAAGAGCGGGGGCCATTGCGCAGAATTACGACCGTTTGGCTCACTTCTGATTGCTGGACACCTCTGGAGAGGCACCCCCGCGGGCAGCTGGGTCGTGGGTGGCCAGGGCGATCAGGGGCCGGTGACGCTTGGCCTCCCTGAGGGCTTCCAGCTCCCTGGCCAGCACTCGGCCCCGGCGGACGCGCAGGAGGGCAGGCAGGCCCCTGCGCAGGCGTTGGGCGGACTGCATCCAGGCGCCGTAGTGGAAGAACTTGCCCACGGGGTATCTGGGGAAGTTGTCCTGGGGGGCGGGGGGGAGGGCCGGTCAAGGGGTGCCTCCTGGGAGGGGGGGCAGGGGGGAGGGCCGGTCAAGGGGTGCCCGCTCCTTGGCCCCAGCCCCTAACCAGCCTGTGGCCCCGTCAATGACCTGAGGGGCTTGCCCCTGACCCCATCACTGAGCCGGCCGACACCCCCTCGCTCAGCTCTGGCCAAGGTGCCTGGTGGGGGACCCACGGCCAATGGGCGGCCTCCTCCCGCCGCTGAGGTGCCGGCTGAGCCCTGACCCCCTGGGTCCCCAGACTCAGAGGTGGCAGCCCAAGGGGCCCCTGAGAAAAGCGACCCCCAGGTCTCCCACGGGGCGGCCGACGTCTTACCGGAAGCACGGTCGGAAGGGCCGACACATCCCTCTCGGACTTGGCGGGGGTGGCACAGTAAGTCTCCAGGAGCGCCAGGTCGCAGCTGCGGAAACAGCACTCTTCCACGATGCCACGGATGCCCCGGCTGCGGCGGCTCGCCCGGCTGGCTGGCCTGCCTACAAGTCCCACAGGGAGGGGGGGCTGGTCAGCACCGCACACCTCGCAAGGTGGGGGTGCGGGGGGCCCCAGAAAAAAACCTCAGGGGAAGTGGGGGGCCCAGTCCAGGATCGGCCGTCGGCCTGGGGGCGCCCTCCTGAGGCTGCAAACAGGCAGGGCCTTGGAGTCCCCAGGCCCGGAGAGGTTTGGAAGGTGGGCACAGGGCTGCCCGGCGAGGGGTCCGACCCCCACGTCCCAGGGCCACAGGGTCCTGTCCTGAAGGCCAGGCTGGGACACAAGTGCCAGCCTGGGCCGAGCAGGGGCCGGCGGCCCCCAGCCCGGAGACTCGGAGACAGGCAGGAATGGGAGGAGGAAGAAGAAGACGGGAGGGGAGGAGTGAGGACCTGCAAGAAACCACGCCCTCCTCTCCTCCCGTCCTCCCCCTCCCTCCCCCGGCTCCAGGTCTCGGCCGCCCCTTGGCGGGGCCTGGGAAGAGCCCCTAGTAAGGGGTCCTGTCACGGGTCCCCTGGGTGGGGGCTCAGCCCAGCACCACTTTCGAGGAACCTGGTGTGGGGGGCTACAGTGCCACTTCCTACCCCCAAGGGAGGCGAGCCACAGCAGGGGGGGGCGTGGTCAGGCAAGGCCAGGCAGGGAGGGGCTTCAGAAGCTGGAGACTCAAGAATGCTTTCCAAAGAGAAGCTCTGAAATGCCAAGACGGGCCTCAGTGGGCCCATTGCTCAGGCTGGGTAAGTGGAGGCTGCGGGAGAGGAGGCCACACCCCCCACCCTCAGTGCAGGCGAAGACACTGAGGCCCAGCTGGCTTGGGGGGGAGGGGGGTTGGGGGAGGGCGAGGGCCCACACCCCAGAGGGAGACGTCACCTCCAACTGGGGTCCCAAGGGCGAGGGGAAACCCCGGGACAGAGATCAAGAGGCACAGACAGGGAGCAGCTGAAGCACCAGGGCTAGCAGGTGGGCGCCCGTCACCTCTGCTGCACCCCCGGGGGGGGCCGAGCACCCCAAGCACGTGGGACATGCACACTCACACCCCCCAGCGACCTGTGCTTTTCTTCCCATTGGGTTGCAGCCCGTTTCATCAAATGCGCGTGCCCATTGTTAAAATGCCAGGCACCCCAGGGGCCGTGACCACAGCCCCGCCTGCAACGGCAGGCCAGCCTGGCTCACCCCACCCCCGCCCACCGGTAACACCCTCCCCTGTGTGGACACCACCACCTCCCGCCCTCTGGCCTGAGCCCTGCTGCAGGAAACTCAGGGGGCGTGAGCCCCTCCTGCCGCACTCTGCAAAGCCCCGGCTCCTCCGGCTCCTCCTCCTCCTCCTCCTCCTCCGCCAACGCCACCAGTCCTCCCCACCCCCGCCTGCCCACCCTCCCGGTGTCCCAAGAATGGGCTCCAGCATTTATCCAGCGCCTGCTGTGTACGCCGCCCCCCCTTGCCCCGCCGCGCACTGAGCCACTTACTGAAGTAAAAGCCGCGGTCCCCACAGACAAACTGGAGGGTGTCCACCAGCTCCCCGCCGCACAGGGTCTCACTGGGGCGGTAAGCAGCAAAGCAGCACGAGGCCAGAGCCAAGAAGGTCAACAGCACCAGCGCCGACTTCCCCACCGGAAGCTCCATTGGAATCTGGGGATGGAGAGAGGGCGTGAGCCCCGCCGGCCAGTGCCCCCCAGGGGCAGGGCCCTGGGTTGGCCGGCGTCGAGTTCAGTGGCAGCTTTAAGAGCCCAGCTTTGTCCCTCGTGTTATCGTCCTGACTAGGAACGGACGTGTTTTCACCGTGGAGGCCCACGGGGGCCTGGGGGAAGCACGCCTCTGACCCCTGCCAAGGGCTGGTCAGTGTTCCCCCGTGGGGGCGACCGTCCCCACTGGCATTGCTGCAGGAGCTGAGCCATTCCCAGAGCTGCAGGGACCAGTGCTGGACACTGGACCTGGCCTCCATCCTGTGATGTCACGAGGGCGGGGCCAGCTCAAGGCAGCGGCCACTCCTGGGCCGCCCAGCACCAGCCAAGATGACAGACAGTCCCGTCCCACCACACCGCACGTGCACCCCGGGGCACCGAGCGGCCGAGGGTCCTGCGGGCCGGCCCCACCCTCCCCGGCCGTGGCCGAGCGGAGCCCAGGCCGAGGGTCCAATGGTCAGCACGGCGGCGCCAGCCCTACGCCCAGCCCCCCAACTCCAGTCTGCCCTGGGCACCCCAACACAGGCAGAAAAGGGGAAGCCCTGGCATCCCTGGGGGACCTCCAGGCCGTCTGCTAGGCTGGGGGCACCACGCCCCGCCCCGGAGAGCTGGGGAGAGCAGATGCAGCCACCTGGAGGCCAGCCCCAAGCCCCTCGGGGTCCGGTCTGGACGGAGTGGCAGGTCTCAGGTCTAAGTGTTAGACTCGGCCAGGTGCCCCTGCGCCTTCCGGAAGGTGGGAGCCCCCCAGGCAGGCAGCCCCAGCCTGGCCTCTGCAGCCCCAGGCCGGTGCCACTCAGCCCACTGGCACCCTGATGCTGACCGAGCAAGGGGCTGGGCAGGCTGCCCGGACGTGCCCCTCCCAGGCCCCACACCCAGTGGGCACCAGGGCAGCAGGCCGGGCCTCCCAGCCTGGACCGAGGCTGTGGCATGCGGGCCCCGCCAGGCTCTCGAGGCCGTAAACCGGGGAGAAGGGGGGGACGAGAGAGGCAGTCTTGCTTAAGCTCGGCGAGGGCCGTGGCCAGCTCCACAGAAGGGTCTAAAGTGCCACCTCGCTCTCCTCCTGCTGCCGGGACTGGACCCCAGCGGGGCTGCTTGCTGCCCCTTTCAAATTCTCAAAACACACCGGCCAGGCAGCTCCACGCTTCCGAAAGCCCGGCCTCTCTGCCGTGGGGGCCAGCCCGGAGCCCCGGCGGAGAGCAGGGGCACTGGACAGGCATGCCCGGGGGAGGGCAGAGGCAGGCGGGGTGCCTGCGCTGGAGGCAGGGCGCCGAGGCTGGGCCGGCGGGCCGGCGGGCCGGAGCGGAGGGCAGCGGGGTTCTCGCTCAACAGCGCCGGTTACCTGCCGCAGGACAGGAGGCTCCTAGGGCTGCGCGAGGAAGAGGAGGCTGGAAGGCTGCCTCACAGGAGAAGCCAATGTCCAGTTCTCGGGCTGGTCAGTGCCTCTGCTTTTATGTGCGAGCCGGCTCCTCCCAGCCCCGGCTCCACCCTACCCCCCACCCCTCTCCCCACTGACCACTCCCCCCGCCCCCTTGCTCCCGCCCCCTCCCTGCTTCCAGCCAGTCCCTCCTCGGCGCTGCGCCCCCACCGCTAGCTCGGGGCCGTCCCTTGAGCGGAGAACCGCGTGAGCGCGGGGGGAGGGGTTTGGGGGCTCCTCCTGAACCCCCAGCCCAAGTCCGCACGGGGCCACGGAGGCCAAGGGGGGGGCTGCTTTCCACCTCCTTGTATGGAAACTTCCATCCGCCCACGGCGCGGGGGCGGCTACCCCCCCCTCGCTGTGCGCCGCTGTCCCGGGAGCCCCGGACCAGCCCCTTTCGCCTGGGTCCCCACTTGGAGAAGTTGGGGACAGGGAAAGGGAGGGCCGTCGGGGGAATCCTGCAAATGTGGCGTCTGGCAGGGTTCCCCGGCCGGCTCGGCCCCCTCGCTCCGTCCTGGCCCCGCCCCCCCTCCGTCGGTCTTGCTGGCGCGGAGTCAACATACCAGGGTGGGTTTCGGAGCCTCGCGCCCCTCCTCGCTACCCAGCACCCCGGGGGACGGCCGGCCCCGCCCCCACTCGGCACAGATCCCAAACTTTCGGCACCCCGCCCCCCCACCAGTCCCCCCAAACCGACCAGGAAGTCGCCTTTGCAGACCGCTCACACCCCTCTCGGCGTTTCCCTGCAACCCCCAGCCCGCCCCCCTCCCTCCCGCGCGGCGCAGGGCAAAGGGCGCGCGGTTCGGCCTCGGGAGCCCGCCCCGCAGCCCCCGGCCGCCCGTCCGGGCGCAGCCCCCACCCGCCGGCCCGCGCCGCGCTTACCTGGGAGCCGACACCGCTGCCGCCCACCTCCCTGCTGCGTATTGCGAACCGAACAGCGGGCGTTGGCCCTCCTGCCGGGCACTCCTCTGCCAGCGCCGCTCTGGCCGAGTCGCGGGGGCCGAATTGCGACGGGGCAGAACGGGGGGATGGCTTTTTTTGGGGGGGGGCGAGACTCGTCTGATTGTTTGGGGAGGACGGGCTGTCTGCGGGCTGGGGCGGGCCAGATGTTGTATTTTAGGGGGGGAAAGGGTATCGGGAAATGAGGTCAGCTGTTGTATCCAGGACAGAGGGGGGCAGAGATAGTGAGAGAGACAGAGTGAACGTGAAAGGGGGGGCCGAAGAGAGGGCGAGAGGGAGAGGGGACAGCGAGAGGCGGGCAGGCTCACAGCGGGAGAGAACAGCGGCAGAGAAACAGAAAGCGTATAATTAATCCACTTTGGGACGAGGGCGGGAGGGCGGGCCTGGAGGGGGGCGGGCGCTGGAGGCGCGGAACTGGGGGGGACGGGAGGGAGCCAAGGGAAGGTCGCGGAAGAAAAGAGAGCGGGGGGCCGGGACTAGAGGCCGGAGAGGGGGAGAGGGGAGCACAGAGAAGCGAGGGAAGGGTGCCACGTCGGGGGTCGGGGGCGGTGCGGAGGGGGGCGGAGTGGAGGCGTCACCCGGACCGCGGGCGCCCAGCTCGGTTTGGGCCGACGGAGCCCTCGGCCGTCGCGAGCCCGGGCCTCGGGGGGAAGCGGCGGCAGCGCTGGAGACGCCCCGGGAGAAGCGAGGAGTGGGAGCGCCCAGGCTGCGCGCCGGGGAGGGCTGGAGGGGGCGCGGGGGGGGTGATGACAACGCCGGCGGCCTGCGAGCCGGACTGCCTGCGGGGGGAACCGCCTCCTCAGGTGCAGCGGGACGGGCGTTGAGGTAGATAGACGAGGAGGCGGCGGGGAAGTCCGCAGGCCCGGCGGAGCGCGACCCCGCCGACGGCGCCCGCGAAGGGATCAGCAGCGTGGCGGACGACGTCGAAGCGGGGCCGCCAGCCCGGTGGCGGCGCTGGTGGGCCGAGCGCGGGCGGGCGTGGGCCAGGAGGCGGGGGCGGCCGGAAGGGGGGGCCGGGGGCCTGCCTGGCCTCACGCAGCTCCGCCGGAGAGCAGGCGAACTTCGGGCGCCAACGCCGGGCTCTTATAGCCGCGCCACCCCGCCGCGAGGCGCCCGCTCGGGCCCCGTTGGCTCAGAGCCCGCGCCAATGGGCGCCCGCCGGGCCCTCGCCCCGCCCTCGGACCGCCTCCGCAACTCGAGCCAGGGGGAGGGGGGCGCGGGCCAGGGGGCCCGAGAGAGAGACGGGCGATGGGGGAGGGGGATGTAGGGTGCGCGGGGATGAGATTGGAGTGGGGGCAGGGACCGCAGAATGTGCGAGAAATTCCAAGTCACTGTTCTAAAGTGTTTAGGGGCCCCACCTCAGGTTCTGGGGTGCAAGGATCCCTGCCCTTGTGCGCGGGGCGCACGGGCCAGCAGGGTGGGCGGTGTCCCAGGCCCTAGTGGTGGCGGGGGTCCCTGGTTTCCGTCACGGGGCTACTTGGTGGGGGCGCCCCGTCCGAGTGAGGGTGCAGGTAGCTAGGGGAAGCTCAAGGGTCCCCGAGTCCCGCTGGGAACGGCGAAGCAGGCGAGGAGAGGGGGAGGGTAGTCCCTAGGCGTGCGCGCGGCGCGCAGCCGCCACCTGCCCGAACAAGCGCTGAGCCTCCAGCCGCAGCCAGAGCCCGAGCGCCCCCCGGTGCCGCGCAGGAGCCGGGGAATAGCCGCGGCAGCTGCCAGGTGCGGTCCGCCCGGAGAACCGGCCGGGCCAGGCCCGAATCTGGGCCAGGCATGGGGCCTGCGAGGCCCCGAGTGCCGGCAGAGAAAGCAGCAGGGCGGGAAACATCGCTCAAATCCTACCTGCGTGGCTGAGCTCACCGGGGTTCGTCTAAGCAACTCGCCTCTGGGGCCCACCCAAAATATCCGGATAATGGTTCCCCCGTCCTCAGTGCGTTGGACTTGCGTAGCCTCGGGTTCAGCCCCAGGGGCCACCACGATAATTTGGGAATCTGGGGAAACCATCTCCTGGAGAGTGTGGACGATGTAAGAACTCGTTGTGACTTTTACCAAGTCAAAACCACGCACAGGACTCCGCGCCCCGCCTGTCCCCCCTCCCCCGCCCCGGAGCCCCTGCCGCCCGCTCCTCTCCATGGGCAAGGGGCTGCCGGCAGAAGCCGGCGCGAGGCTCGCCCCTAACTCTGCCATCAATCACCTCGCCCGCGCTCCGCGCGCGCCTCCCCGAGTCCGCCGGGCGGCTGGAGACACCGCGCCGCGCGAGCGGGGTGCGCCTCTCCTCGGCGTCCCTGCGACCCAGCGCCTAGCCCGCCCCGCTTCGGTACTACCAGGGCGCTGTCCCCACAGTGACGATCTTTGCAAACAGCAAACGAAAGCGGTGCCGGTTTCGGGACACTCGGCCCGACCGAGCGCGGCCGCCGGGCGGCAAGCCCGCAGGGGGCTACCGCGCCCCTTGCGGGTCTCCCCGGCGGTTGCCCGAGGCGAGCGCCAGCCTCAGGCCGACCGGCCGGCCGCCGGTGCAGGCGGGACCACCGACGACCGGGGCGCGGAGTCGGCGGGGAGCTCACCGCAAGGCTGGAGGCTGCGTCCGCGGGCGCTCAGGGAGCCGAAGCAGCAGCAAGCGCTCTGCGGCGGGCGGCGGACGCTGCTCAAGGTGAGCGAGACCCCGGAGGCAGTCCCCAAGTCCGGGGGCAACGCCCAGCCCGCTGGAAGACCCGGGGACAATGCCCAAATTTGGGGGAAACTGGGGGCAATGCCCAGTCGTTTTCCTGGACGCGGGAGACGTTCTGCCCACGTCCTGGCGGACGCGCTTGCCAGGCCGAGGGTGTTTGGGGAACACGGACACTTCCCAAGTCCGAGGCGCTCGGGGGGGCTTCGCAGGAGAGGCAGGGAGGCCTGCAAGCAGTGCCCACCGTGCCTGGGGCTGGGGGGCTGCAGGAGGCTGCGGGTGGGTCGGGAACAATGCCCAGATATCGGGGTACGCAGGTCCCAGCTCTGTCTGATTTGCAGGCAAAAAGAACGAGTGTCCCCCAAGTAAGGGATCCGGGGAGGCTCCCTCCCTAATGGGGGGAGCTGCAGCTAATGACTGAATCTGAAGCTCCAGAAAAATAAAGTCTGAGTTTGAGGTTCAGTGGAAATCGCTCCGTGCAGCTGGGGGAGGCGGGGGGTCTCCGTGTAAGAGGTGGGGAGTCCAGCCCCTGGGTCGGCATGCTTGGGGGAGCCCCGGAGCGATGTGTGGGGAGGTCGGTTTTTGGGTGGTGACTCCAGAAAAATTCTCCACATGAAACTCGGGGGGAGGGGGGCACCCGAGAGGCACACAGTCTAAAATTTGAGGGGGGAAAACAGTGGGCCCATTGGGGGACCCAGGCAAACCCTCCACGTGGTGGAGAAACGTGGAGACTGATTTCCACCGCTCAGAAATGCAAGTTCGCGGCCTCGGCCCCGCAGGCGGCCTGAGCCGGGGAGGGCAGCTCGCATCCTCGCCGCGGTGGCGGGAGTCCCCAGTGACCTTTGGCCACTCTAGAAACACGACCTGAATTTGGGGGAGAACCTGGGGGATGTGATGGGTGCTTCCGGGGAGGGCAGAGAATCAACGTCTCTAGTATTTTCTTTTTCAAATCCAATCGTTCAGCGCTGCTTTATTTTTGGCGGACAGGAAGAAGCATCCTGCTTCCCTGAGCAGGGTCTGCATTTTGGGGGAGCCCTAGGGAGACATGGCCCAGATTTTGGGGGATCGCTGGAGACTGTCCAGTGGAGACTGACAGCTGGATTTCGGGGTCCCTGGCTGGCGGCGAGGGAGCTGGTAGACACGGCCCGAGCTGCCTGGGGTTTCAGGGACCTGGGGGTGTTTTTTCAGTGGATCTGGGGGGCTGGGGAAAATTTGTCTAAATTTAGGGGGGCTCCGGGGAAGAGTCATAAAGTCAGGGGGCCCATAAATTAATGTTCAGAAAAAGCTCCATCATTTTGTGGAGGGAAAAAAAAAATCTCAGTTTCCAGGAGGGCTGGGGACAGGGCCTCGATGTGAGGTCCCAGGAAAGGAATTCTGAACCTGGGGACCCAGGGAAGTGGCCCCAGGCCCCCAGGATCATCGGGCTCCATGTCTAATTTTTGGGGGAAGGAGGACGCGTCCCCAGGTCGTGGGCCCGAGAACCAGCGCCTGCAGCGAGCTGGGTGGGGCACCCAGGAAATGTTGCTTGAATTCGGGGTGACTCCGTGAGGGGCTTGGGTGCTTTGGGGCCCATGATATCAGCGCCTTTCCACACCCCAAGCATGACCCTGGGTGTGTGTGGGGGGGGCACAACGCCTCACATTTGAGGGGACCCAGCAAATCCAAGTATCGGCGGTCAGGAAGAGGGTCCCGTGAGGTCCCGGGTGGCTGATCAGCGTCTGAATTTTAGAAAATCCGGGTTCTTGTCGGTCAACAGTGGGACCTGGGGGGTTTCAAACACACAGCCAGTCAGGAGGCAGAGGAAATACCTGGAACGCCTGGCCCCCGCGGTCACGCCGCAGGCGGGGTGAGGAGCACAGGTTCGCGGTGCGCGCGGACGGAGCACGCAGCCCCGTGGGGAGCTGGGGGGGCCTCGTGAGGGCCGGGGCAGCCTGCCTCGCCCACGGCCGGCCACCTCGGAGCCCGCGTCCAGTCTCGGGTCGCCGCCGCCGGCGCGCTCTCGGGGCCTGGGGTCCCCGCGGGGAGGCTGCCGCGTGGCGGGGAAGCAGGGAGAGCCCCGGAAAGGGCCCCCCGCCCCGGGTCTGCTTGGCCCACAGCAGATAGCGCCCGGGGGTCCGGGAGGGCAGGCGTCGCCCGGCCTCTGAGCTTGGCGGGACTCAGGCTGCCAGAGAGCAGACTGTTGAAGGTTCACAAAGGGGGTCCCTGTGTTTGGGGGAAATTCCTAAACCGGGGTGGACGCCAGGAGGGCGACCTGGAGGTGCTGGGGGTGGCCTGTTTAGAGTGCTGGGGTGGGGGTGGGGGGGACCTGGGACTCTGTGTGAGATTCAGGGAGCCCAGGTTGGGGCCAAGAATTTTGTGGAACTCTGCAGATGCTACCCCAAACTCTGGGAGCCCGGTGTGGGAGAG